CGCTGCCCTCAGCAAGGTCTGTCCTTAGGGCCAAACCCTTGGTAAGGACAGGGCTCCTGACAGGAGTGACCCATGCCCGGGTCTCACTGGTTCTGACCCTGTGATCAGCTGCCAGAATGGCCAGTGCCAGCCCCAGGGTGTGGGAGGGGAGGGACATCCTGCAGTTCCCTTGGCTCCAGACCAGCGACTGCCAGGCTTTGGTCAGTGCCAGCAGGTAAAGATCGAACGATTGTGGTTCAGAGGGAAGCAATAAAAGCCCCAGAGCTGATCTTTCTCCAAGGAAGAAAACAAGCAGGACACCCCAGCAGGTTCCCTCCAAAACTCACATTGAAATCCGTGAAAGTTGCAGTCAGGAGTTGCTTGTTTTCTTCCTTTCCTGAGGCCGAAAACTCCCCAGAGGCTTCACGCTGGGGTGGGCAGGAGGGTTGACTTTAGTAAAGGTAGAAATTATTTCTCTTTACACTTTTAAGGTTACAGGAGTTACTTGCCTTTTAAAAACAAACCGAGGAGCTGCCCTGCCCGTGCTCCTAGATGATGGTGCAGGAGCTGAAGGCAGCGCCCCGTTTGTTGGTGCTCTGCGTTGGCACCAGCTTTCCCTTCCCGTAGTACCCCGAGAATATCGCCCTCACATCAATCTTTTTCGACAGCACAAGCATCCACATCCCATTATCAAAATACAGCAGTTTCCCTCCTCCAATTTCCCCCACTTGCTCCCCTTTGTTCCCTGCCTTTTCCAGCTTGACAAACTCGAGCAGGTCGAGCCCGGTCTGGACGGCCTCGACGCCGTTGGCGCAGCCCAGGGTGATGTGGGCACGGCTGCCCCGGGGCAGGTTGTCCGTGGGCAGGATCTTGTCAGCATCCCCCGGCCACAGCAGCAGCTGCTGCTCGCTCAGCTCGATGCGAGCCCCGACAGTCTTTGTGGTGATGAACAGGGCAGAGATGGACAGGGTGAAGCCTTTGCCATAGGAAGCCTTCACAGCCTGCAGAGGGACACACAGGGGACAGGGTTAGTGCCTCTGGTGGGGATTCACTGTGGCAGCTCCTGCTGTGACATGGGCAAAACATCCAGAGCAAGGAGAAGGTCAGTGCCTCATGTCCCAGTTCTGTAGATCTTTCCAATATTTAACCTTGGCTTATGTGCTCTGAAATAATCAATCTGAGGATCTAAATACGTCAATTCGTCATCATTCAGCTCAAGCTGTCAGAGATGATGCTGGAAGTCATGTGTGATTGGGGAAAGTGAGAGCATTTTGTTTGGAAATAGAAAACTAAATCACCATGTCCACAGTTTGGAGTTTTCTCTGCACAGGTCACAGGGATGTAGTTCCTGTCCCTATATTTGGCCTCTTGGGTCAGAGCAAAGCCCGTCCCCGACCCTCTCCCAGGCTCATGGACACCCCAAAGGGGAGGGAGGGGACACGGGGGTGTGGGGAGGAGGTGGGACCCCAACACTCACTTCCTGCTGCGCGTATTCCTCGGCTCCAGCTGCTTTTCCAAACTCAGTGTATTTCGTGGTGCAGTGCAGGACCCCAGGTGGCCTCTTCACAAAGTAGCTGGTGAGATCTATTTTTATTTTGGGATCTTCGATAGCAGAAGGAACTGCAGATACAGGTGAACAATGTCACTGTCACAAAGTGATGCCCCCGATGTCAACCCACCAGCCCTGGTCCCATCTCTCCCTTCACATCTCATCTCTGACTGCTGGGTGGGAAACCAAACCCCTCCCTCCTCCCAGGCTCACTGCAGATGGAGCCAGAGAACAGAAGCTCCTGTGCATCATCGTGGCTCATCTTAAACCTGATGAGATGTGAGAGTCCCCTAAGGGATGGGATTGTTCAGTTCAGCCTTTCCCATTTCCCTCTCTTTGCCTTTTTCCCACCCAACCCCTTGGAACCAGGGGACATCCAGGATCCCATGTCCTGCTGCTGCCACCTGAGCTCAGTGCCCCGTGGGGCCAGACCTAAACAGACTTGGGAAAAGCTCTTTAATTTACTCAAAAAAGCAACTTTGTCAACTATGAAGACCAGGTTAGTAGCTTTAAAAAGATTTTTTTTGTTGGCACTGTTAGAAATTGACTTTAGAAGCTAAGCAGACTCATCAAGAGGTAAGAATGCTGTAAAAGAACATCAATACATACAGTATTTACTCTCCTTTTTGAAGGCTTTGAGACTCCCAAGCTCATCCAAGAATGCCTGGCCAGCCTTCCTCAGGATCTCTGAACTTCTTTTGCTCAAAAACCACCCAAAATACATGGGCAGGAATTCCTTCTCTAAGCTTGGCTTCATCTTCTTCAGCTCTTCCACAGACAGTTTCCACTGGTTCTTGTCCTTGAGCTGGGGGCAATCCAAGCGCCAGGGGGTTTTGGGCTCGGCAAAGATGACTTTGTAGCGATACTTGTCAGCAATGTCAAAGAGCTGCTCCAGCCGCTCCCGCTCGTGGTGGGTGTCATCCAAAACAATGACGCTGATCTCCCGTTTGCAATAGTCAACTAGATCCTCATCCACCTTGGAGTACTCTTCAGGAATGGAGCTCCTGATTAATGGTGTGATTTTATAGTGATCGACAGAGATGACCTTGCAGGCGTCTTTGTAGCGATCGTGGATGGCCTGGGCCAGGGTGGATTTCCCGCTGCCAGGCAGGCCCCGGAGGATGAAAAAGGTTTTGGATTCTTTCAGCGTGGAGATGGTGTCTTCATCGTCCAGGAATGGGAAATGCAAACTCTCAGGTCTCTCTTTCGCCGATTGAGTAGACATTTTTCTAAATATTTTAGGCAGGAAAGGGTGACTCTTCTTGGAGAAGCCTCTGTTCTGGAATGGAAGGAGAAAACACTTTGCAGGGCAGGAACCCCAGAGACAGTGTGGACCTTTAGTGGAAGTGATGAGCACAGGGAGCTTCTCCCCCACACTGCCTCGCTTGGGTGCCCTGCTCAGCTGACTCCTCCTCCCACAGCTGCTCTGGCTGCTTGTACAGCAGAAATCCACTGCATCCCACCCAAGGGCTGAAGGTTCAGCCCTGCTCCCTGCTCTGGGCTCACAGCTGCAGTCCTGCCCCACTGGGAAGGGATTTCTCAGGCACCAGGAGCTGCCACAAAGCCCCAGCCCTCCTCGTGTGGCACGTTCAGTCTGAGCTCTTGAACAAACACACCTGTGGCTGCCGGACGTGAGGGCAGTGACCCACGGAGGAGCCCAGGGGAACGGAAAGTCCCAGCAGGTTGAGAGCTGCCACACTGCTGTCCCTTCACCTGAACCACAAACTCAATTCCCAGGCTGTTTCCTAGAGCAGCCCACAAGGATGCTGCTGTCTCTGTCTGAGCTGCACTGAGGATCAGCAGCTGAGCACCTCACAGGAGGGAATTTGGGCTTCCAGGAAAGCCAAACCCCTCCCAGCAGCTGCAAGGCAGAACTCGAAAGTGAAACCTCGAGTGCTGAAGGAAACGAAACACTGGCGGTTGGCAGCAGTGAGCGGGAGATGCCGCGGGGAGCTGGCACGGCTGTCCCTCCCCTCCTGCCAGCAGCTCCATTCCAGTTAGCAGAATCCCAGATTAATTCCCAGTAGCGTCTGGGAAAACACGGGACTGAAAGGAAATGTGGGACTTCAGCTGTGCGAGTCCTCAATAGCATCACCGAGGCAGACACTGTTTGTTGGGTCAATAAATGAACTGCCTGTGGGCCAGCCCTGCCTGGGATGCACTGGACCGTGGGAGTGATGCCCAAGAAGTTTTGCCTTTGATGCAAAAATTGAGAAGTTTTACATAAAACATAACCGCACTGCCAGGGCCAGAAAAATGTGTTTCCAGTTCGCAGTTTTTAAAAAACACTTTTCAAGTGTTGATTTCCCCATCTCTTTATTCCAGAAGGTACAGATGGGTTTGGTTCCAAATGCCCAAATGGGAGCAGAAGCAGGACCCCACATTTCCCAGGGGCACCGCCTGCCCTGGGCTCAGCTGCAGCCGGAGGGGCAGAGGAGCCCCTGAGAGCAGCGGGGACCTGCGGGCTCCCCGTGCTGCTTTCCCGGCGCACTCGGGGCTCAAAGTGCTCACAGCGGAGGGAGCCGTGAGTTACCGGGGGGCAGCACAGGTGCCCCCTTGCCCGGGGGTCGCAGGGCCGGGCCGTGCCCGCTCCGCACCGGGCCGTCCCGCGGGCGGGGACCGGGGCCGCTGTTCTGCCGCGGCAGCTGCCGAGGGGACTGAGGCGCTTTTCAGCCCCGCGAACAAAGGAACAATCGCGGCCCCCCCGGGCCATTGTTCGCCGCCGGCTCGGGGACAACGGGCGCCTTCACGGGCCGGGCCGGGCGGACAAAGGCTCCGCAGAGCCCGGGGGAGCGGGGTCCGGCCGGACAATCTCCCATTGAGCCGCCCCCACAAAGCTCCCGCTTGTCTCCTGCTCCCCGCCGTGGAGGGAGCCATCGCTGCCGGCCCCGGGCTGCCCCGGCAGCCCCCAGAGCGTCCCGGGACCCCCGAGCGGGACCCACGGGCCCCGGGGCCGTTCTCGGTGCCCGGCTGCCTCCGAGCGCCCTCAGGCTCAGCGCCCGCGTGTCGGCAACGCCGCCGGCGCTTCCGCCCTCCGGGGAATCGGAACCTTCGCCGGGCGGAGCTGCAGCCCCGATCCCGGTCCTGATCCCGATGCTAATAATCCCGATGCTAGTCCCGGTCCTAGTCCCGGTCCCAGTCCCGGTCCCGCTTACCATGGTGAGGGCAGCGGCTCCGGGGCGGCCGCCGGTGCGGAGCGGCGCGGCGGGGAAGCGGCTCTGGGGCGGGCGCGGCCGCCGCTCCTTTCATAGCCCCGGGACTCGCCCGCCCCCGAGGGCCGGACCGAGCCCTCCCCGGGGCAGCGGGGGGGCCCCGGGGCTCAGCCCTGCCCCGCCCGGTGCCGGGGATGCTCCGGGACAGTCCCGGGATGCGGGCCGGGGGCAGGCAGCGCTCCGGGAACGGCGGCGGCTCGGATCGGCTCCTTCCCTGCTCAGGACACACCACTGCACTGCTGGGTACGACGCTTGCTCAATATTTATTTCAACTTCCCGCCTAGGCTCTACTTTTTCCCACTGCTGTCCTTTATTTCCTTGTCTGTTTTCCCCCTTTAACCTTTTCTTGTGCTTATTTACTTCCCCCCCTTTAACCTTTCTTATTCTCTATATCGTTTCTAGCTTCCTCTTATGGCTGTTCATCTTGATTCCCTTTCTCCTCCTCCTCTTCCACATTCTCAGCGGTGGTTTTTATGCTTTCCGTGCTGAAAAGGCGATCTGGGAAGGGAAAAGGAAACTTAAGCCAAGTCCTAGAACACAGCGCCCTGCCAGGACCCTCCCCGAACCCCAGCAGAGCTGGGACAGCGCTGGGGATGTTGGTGACATTGTGACAGCCTGCAGGGGACACTCAGGGAATGCTGCTATCCCTAAGATGGGCACGGCCGGACCTGGGAGTGCAGCTGAAGCAATCCCAGACTCCCACCAAGATTTTAATTCAATACTTGCAAGGAAATGGGTGCTGTGGGAATTCTGAGGTGCAGAACAGGAGAGTGGGGTTTTTTCCCCATTTCTGGGTGCAGAGGTGTGAACAACAAATACCTTCATGTGAGGGAATCGCCCCGTCTTTCTGGCCTTTGTTCAGCTCTGCAATGAAGCTTTTGCTCACGTTATCCAAGGCCTGAAAGGGATGAAGTTCTTAATAAAAGCCCCAGAAATGCAGCTACATACCCAACATTGTCTTGTTTTCTATTGCTATCATTACCAAATCCTTTCCCACTATAAGACTGCATTTCTGTGGCATTACTGGCTGGAATATCCCAGCTGGGATAACAGCTTCTCCCAGAGGCTGCCCAGAGCTCCTCCTCCATCCCCCTTACCGCAATGATGCCATTTTGAGCAGTTTCACTGGGCATAAGCCTTGCCTTCTCCAGAGCCCTTTCAAAATTCAGGATTGCAGACGGGTAATTTTTCAATTTCACTGGAACAGACAGGAATATCAGCTGGTTTAGCCCAGGAGCAGGAGAACAGCAAGAAGCAATCAAGCCAGTCTTGATCTGAGCAGTTGCTTTGGCTGTTAAATCTTGGAGATGTTTTCAGACCAGCTTTTCCACCCTGTGCCCACATCTTTACCTTGTGCCTGTGCCACCAGCACAGTGGCGTGGAGCTGCCACTCCACATCTCCCTCTTCATCTGCTGACTGCAGGGACTGCTCTCCATAATCCTGGGCTGCTTCAGCATTGTCCAGCTCGAGGTAGCACCGCCCAATTTCATGGAACAGCCAGGCCTTCTCCAGGCTGGATTGGGCCAGTGGAATCTTCTCCTCCCAGCTTCAAGCAGAGTAAAACAGAGAAACCTTTACTAACCCTCACTGGGTACAGTTATAACTCAAACACTGATTTGATAGCAAAGGGTTCATGTCACACACATCTTCTATGAAAAATCCTTTCATCAGGATCGTTTCTCCTGAGAAGTTGAGAGGCCTCAGGAACAAAATCTGCTGCTGTGGAATGCAACAGGTAGATCTTTAATTAGCCCATGTTGGTTGTTTCTAATTAATGGCCAATCACAGTCAGCTAGCTCAGACTCTGTCTGAGCCACAAGCCTTTTTATGCTTCCTTCTTTTTCTATTCTTAGCCAGCCTTCTGATGAAATCCTTTCTTCTATTCTTTCAGTATAGTTTTAATATAATATATATCATAAAATAATAAATCAGCCTGCTAAAACATGGAGTCAGATCCTCATCTCTTCCCTCATCCTCAGACCCCTGTGAATACGGTCACAGGCTCAGGTGTGAAAATTTCCCCAGGCCTGGCTGCAGTGAGAACACACAACTAAAAAACCACAACCTGGGTCCCTCCAGCCCCTGATGCCTTTGCTGCTGGGCTGTACTCACGTGTTGATGGCCTGCTGGAACTTTCCAAGTCGGGCGTACACGTGGCCAATGTTGTCCAGGGCCCGGGACACGGCATCTGTCAGAGAGCTGGGACAGGGAGACAAAGGGATTGTGGCACTGATATCATCCTGTTCCTCACTCACTCTGCATTTCTTGGTGCTCCCCATGCCCTCAGAGAATTGTTAGGAAGTAAAGGGCCCCAGTCAGGATGAAAGTCATGAAATCAAGGTTGATTTTTGATTTTATCTACAGCTCTGGCAGCTGACCCCATGAGACGCAGGGGAAATGGTTTAGCTGTGCCTTTGATTATTAATAATTTTTGTGCAAATCTGACAGCCCTTGGGAAAATGCACTTTTCATTGCCTCTGTCTGTTCTCCTTTGTGGGAACAACTCATGGATGATTTCTGTTTTTCAAAGCAAAGACACAAAAAGGTGTGTGCAGTGTGTGCAGGCTCCTGACACCAGCCCTGATCCTGTGCTTGGACCAAGCTTTGCTCCATGCTACAGGCAGCTCCTTCTGTAATAAAGCCCTGTGGGCTTTAATTTCTTCCTTAATTATCCTCATTCTCATCTTCAGAAGCAGCTTTGCCTCCCCTTAGCTTAGAGATGGAAAAGCCTGTGCGAGGAGCAGATAAATGCCATGGGAGTCATGGAATCACAGAGCGGTTTGGGTGGGAAGGGACCGTAAGGACTCAAACCCCCGTCAGGGGGTAATTAACGCGAGTAATTAAGGAGTCATTAACGGCGTTTTCAGCTGCAGCCGCCAGAGGGTGCAGCCTGCCCGTCCTTCCCGGCACCTCGGGTTCAGCGAGGTCCCAAACGCGGCATCTCCTCCCCTCTCTCCTGATAATTCAGCATCTCCTCCCCTTCTCCTGCTAATTCCTGCCTTTACCTGGCCTGCTCGGGCAGTGCCACCACCAGCAGAGAGGCAGCCTTTTCCTAAACCTCCATTCATTTCCAAAAGGATTTTTGAAAATGAGAAACAACCACTCAGTGATATTTTAAAAGCTCAATGCACTTCTGCCAAACATAAGTCCTAAATCACTTCAAGGCACTGTTGCATGATTTCTGCTATGTTTTGCAAATTCTTCCTACATCTAAGACTACATTTTGCTCCACTGTGGTTCAGCTGGAAGAGCTGTGGGATGTGTCTGGTGCAGACAGGTAAGTGCACCTGGAAGAGACCTTTATTTCAAGCCATGCTTAATGGTCTCTATGAAAAGAAGTTTAAGACAAAATGTAGCAGAAAACTGGAGCAATTTCAACCCTGAACTTCCTGAGAAGAAAGTACCTGCTCAAGATTTCAGTGCTGAAACTGGGAGTTGTGTTCTTTTGCTTTGCTACAGAAGAGGTTTTGATGTGCCCTGTGCTGTGGGTCCTTAAAAATCTGCTTCAGGTTCCTTATTTTGAAACAGTGAAGATAAAAATTCACCACACACCCTAATACTTGTGCAGAGCTGAATGTGTAACCCTGTTAAACCCCCCAGGTGAGGATTACTTTACCTAATGCTAAAACACCCCCACAGAGGTATTTCCCCCTTTCTCCACCCACCTGAACTTCCCAGAACTTACTGCTCCCTGGCACATTCCAGATCCATCTTATGGCTGTGCAAAGCTGCCTCCATCTGTCCCATTGCCAGCTGGGCATTCCCAATGCAGCTGTGGAGGTTCCCAATCAGTTCATACTTGTTGGGAACGTCATCCTCTGACCAGGCTCGTATCTTCTTCAGCAGATGTTCAGCTTTCCTGCAGCTTTGCTCAGCGGAACCTCTGGCCAGCACTGGGGACAGGGAGCAGAGTTGGACACTGGGGTGTGACACAGAGACATTGAGAAGTTGTGAATTCCCCATCCCTAGAGGTGTCCCAGGCCAGGTTGGATGGGGCTTGGAGCAACCTGGGAGAGTGGAAGGTGTCCCTGCCCATGGTAGAGGGAGTGGGGTGGGATGAACTTTAAGGTCCCTTCTGTCACCATCATATTTTCCAAAAAATCCTCTTTGCCCAGGATTCTTCTCCTGGGAAGCTTAGAGGCCTCAGAGAAAAAGGAAAACAATATTATCTCATTTGCTTCTCCTGTGCTTTGCTGCTTTGGAATGTGATTTGGTGAGTGTTTATCCAACAGGTGGTTGTTTGATTGGTTTCATGTCAATTGTTTTAACTTAATGACCAATCATGGTCCAAGCTGTGTCGGACTCTGGAGAAAGAGTCACAAAATTCATTATCATTCTTTTTAGCCTTCTGTTAGTATCCTTCCTCTATTCTTTAGTATAGTTTCAGTATAGCATTCTTTAATATAATATAATAAAATAATAAATTAGCCTTCTAAGAACATGGAGTCAGATTCATTCCCTCCTGCCACAGGGAAATCACAACCTTCCAACCGAAACCATCTTGGGATTCTGTGATACTTGAGAATTGAGACCTGGTGAAGTAGCTAATGCTCAAAGCTCAGGAAAAGAGCTCCCCCACAGCCAGGAACCTACTCAGCTCGATATCCTCCATCTCCTTGGCAATGGCTCTGGCAGTGTCAGATGGTTTCTGTTTCTTGTCCTGTGCCCAGCCCTGCTGCAGGACCCTGTGCTCATAAATCAGCTTTCTGCTGCTGCCAGAAGTCTCCTGCCACTGGTTCAGGTAGGGGATGCCACCCAAAACCAGGTCCATGACTTTGACCCCCCCTGCCTTGTGAATTCCCCATCCCTGGAGGTGTTCCAGACCAGGCTGGATGGAGCTTGGAGCCACCTGGGATAGTGGAAGAAGTCCCTGCCCATGGTAAGGGTGGCGGAACAGGATGAACTTCAAGGGGCCTTCCAACCCAAACCATCTTGGGATTCTGTGATACTCAGGAATTGAGACCTCAGAGCTCAGGAATCCATCTCCCCAGAGCCAGGAACCTACTCTGGTCGATATCCTCCATCTCCTTGGCGATGGCCCTGGCGATTTCGGCTGGTTTCAGTTTCCTGTCCCGCCCCCAGCCCAGCCGCAGGAGCTTGCGCTCGTACTCGCGCGCGTAAATCGGCTTCTGCTGCTGCCAGAAGTCGCGCCGCTGGTTCAGGTAGGAGATGCCACCCATAACCAGGTCCATGACTTTGGCCCCCTGCCTTGTGCTGCTCTGCATCAAGTCTGGGAATAACATAAGGTAGAATTGAGGTGAGAATCAACAGACCTGAGCTGCAGCAGATTGGGAATGTTTTTCGGTTCAGACACAGACACTTGTGGACATGAAAGTGTCCTGTGCTCCTCAGAGCTGAGGTGATGGGGGAGCTAACAATAAACTCTGTTATTCATTCATAATGTCATTCACATTTTCTGAAAAATCCCTTCACCCAGGATTTTTCTCCTGGGAAGTTGAGAAGCCTCAGAGAAAAAGGGAAACAATTCTTATCTCATTTGTTTCTCCTGTGTTTTGCCATCTGGAATGTGTTTGGAGATTGTTTACCCACAGGTGATTGTTTGATTGGATTGTGCTGTGAGTTGCTTTCACTCATTGGCCCATTGGGGCCAAGCTGTGTTGAGACTCTGGAAAGAGTCAGGAGTTTTCATTATTATCTTTTTAGCATTGTATAAGTATCCTTTCTGTATTCTTTAGTATGATATGATATGATATGATATGATATGATATGATATGATATGATATAATATAATATAATATAATATAATATAATATAATATAATAATCTTCTGAGAACATAGAGTCAGATTAATCATTCTTTCCTTCATCAGGGCACCCCACAAACACAATAAAACTCTGCTGCCCCTCTGCTTCAGTGAGCTGAGCTGGTGTTCCAGCCTTGTCTCTGCTGCCTTCTCTGCTGATCAGAGCCAAGAAGGGGCCCAGTAAGTGAAGCCAGCCGTGCTGAGCACCTGTGCTCTAGGACAGAACATCTGTATGGCACATCTGTACTGACAGGACACTTTGAACAGTGCTGTGGATCAGGCTGGCAGATGGAAAGTGAGAGGGCTTTTACCTGCCTGCAAACCAGACCGCCCACATGGGTAATTAGTGCTGGCAACACTGTAAAACCTGTGAGCAAAGCAAACCTTCATCACTTTATTTCTGGGTGAAAAGTTCCCTAGAAATGTGACTAATCTTTGTGCCTTTTTCTAAAATAAGATACTTTTCCAATTCCTGCATTTTGACCTTAAAGCATTTATAACAAACTCACAGAGGAGTCACAGCCCCATGAGCAGACACCTGCCTGTGTCCCCAGCACTGTGAGCTCTGGAATAGTTAACTAAGAGTCACAGGGATTTAAAAGAAGAAAAGAAATAAAGAAGAATAAAAAAGGGATGAAAGAAAAATAGAATGTGCTGAGAAGGAGAAACACCTTCATCCTTGAGCAACTTCTCCAGATATGCTTTGTCATCATAAAGTCGTCCCAGAAGCTGTTGCTCTGTTTTTGGACTCTTCTTCTTGGTGTGTTTTTGATCCTTTTGGTCCTTTGGTTTGTTTTGCTGTTTCTGGCTGTCTTTTTTGCTCTGCAGCTAGAGAAAAACAAAAAGAGTTGAGGGACATCAGTGGGGAACACTGGAATGAGCAGAATTCTGTTTACATTCCATATAAGACAACTTATTTTTTAAATAAAAGCAAAAAGCCAAAGTCTCATCAGATGCTTTGGCCATGAGCAACTGAAATTCTGCAGCCAATTGTGCTCCCTGAGGACCACAAGGGTGTTACAGAAAGGGTAAGAACTAGTTCTGGCTTTTCAGAGGAACAAGACACTACTGCAATGGAGCACCAAAAGTGAAGCAATAAAGAAAGTGTCCATTATCAAAACTGTGACCCTTAAACATTAGGCAAACTCAAAATCAATATTGAAGCTCACTGTGCCCTCTTTGACCTCTGGGCTGTTACTCATTAGATGGGTGGCTGGAAACACCCCCAGACATGGGGCTGGAGGAGAAATTCCAGATTTTGTTCTTGCATGGTGGCTCTTCCTGCCCTTCTGACTCTCCCCTTAAATTCTGGGTGAATTGAGGCAGACCTGCATTAGAAGCAGGTGACAAACCATGACAGGTCAGTGTTTTTAATGCTCCAGAAGCCCTTCAGCAGGCCCACTGCTCCCACAGCCACGTCCCTGTAGGGACTGTCCCTCCTCTGGTGCCCATTTCAGCACCACAACAACTCCAGAAGCTTCTCCAGCCAGAGCCCTGTGCTGTACCTCTGCCTGCCTGCTCACAAAGCACAGCTCCTCCTTGTTCTCCAGCTTCACTGTGGATGGATCTGCAAACACAGAGGAGTCTGGGTTAGTGCTGCACTCAGCCATGCAGGGTCTGCTGTCTGTCCTGACCCCCAGGGGAGCTCTGACTCTGACCCTCACTCATGGAGAAAGTTTCCCGGACTTCAAGATAGATTGGAATCCACAAAAGTGTGAAATGGATTATAGAGAGCAATGTAGGTGCATCACTGGGTGAGAAATTTACCCAGTAAAAATTCTCACCGAGTATTTGTGAAATAAATACTCACAAATTGAGTTGAGTAAATTTGTGAGTTGTGAGTAAAAAGCCCATAAAGGTGCCAAGCACAAAACATTCAGTTACAACCACTTTTCTCATCCCTTCCCATGGGATAGGGGGTGTTGGTGTGTTCTGGGAGCAGGGAATGCTACCAGCTCCTCTTGGGATTTTAATTCACACAGGTGCAATATTCCTACAGACAGGGTACATCCTGCATGGAAACTGAAGGAGAAGGATGCAGCTCCTTCTGAGGGATCACAGCTGGAGCATGAAACGGAAGGAAAGGTGTTTCACAGGTTTGTGCACTGATTAGGGCAAAAGGCCCATTGTGTTTACCACCATCTGTCTGCACCCTGGGAAGGAAGAGTGAGGAGCAGCTCTTTGTTTGGTCTGAGGGAAGGACAGAGCTGCCAAGGCTGCTGCAGAATTCCCTTCAGCAGCCCTGGGGCCCAGAGCAGCAGCACAAACACGGGGGGGTCACAGGGGCAGGTGAAGCAGAGCCAGGGAGGCAGCTTGGGGATGTGCCCTGTTAATGTGTGTGCATTTCCCAACTGTTCAAACATCCACGTGTTTCCCCGCACCTCACAACTATTGACTGATTTTAAGTATTTTCAGTTATATTAGTTTAGTTATGTTTAGTTAAATACCAGTTTTCTATTTTTTAAATTCATTTTTGTGCCTCCAGCCCAGGGGGTCCAAAGGTGGTCAGAGTTCTTGGCTCAGGATATCCAGCTGGGAAGATTTCAGCTGGAGCTGTGATGATAATACCTGAGCATTGTGCTAAGCTCAGGAAGCTGCAGGAATGGAGGAAAGCAAGCCAGATCTGGAAACCTTCCCTGTTTTTTTTTAAACAACTATCCCATCTGAAAGTGCTGCAGGCTCTGGTGCCACTGTTTAACAGGGGGAGGGGCTGAAGTTTTGAAATTTTGGGAGAGGGAGGCCCTGGCCTAGGTGGGAATGTGTGTGGGGTGTGAATGGGCTGTGCCAGAGCTGGGCAGGGACAGGCTCCAAGCCACCCCACAGGTTTGGCAGCCCCAGAGGAGCCCTCACACGTGTTGCACTCACATGGCAGAGGAGGCAGCCCCAGGTGAGTGAGCTGTGTCTGTGCCCCACACTGGGACACGTCCTGTCCACGCCTGCTGCCAGGGCTGAGGGAAAAGCTGAGTGAAAAGGGATGAGTTTTCTGTTTGTTTTAAACCCCACGAGGTCCTTGGCCTTTTCTGTCTCTCCAGGAGCTGATCTGAGCCAGGAATGGTGAAAGCAGAGCTCGTTACAAGAGTCAACAGTTTCACTGCTCTTTTGCAATGAAAATTGGAGGAGAGTCAGGATTTCAGGAGGCCAGCCTGAGGTGGCATGGCACATTGCATTTCAAGCTTTGAACAAAAGGGATAAAGGTCTCAAAATGGATTTTGTCATTAGTGCTGCAGGTAGATCAGAGAATCACGGAATCCCAGAATGGTTTGAATGAAATAATGGAGTCCCAGAATGGTTTGAATAAAATCATGGAACCCCAGAATGGTTTGAATGAAATAATGGAGTCCCAGAATGGTTTGAATAAAATCATGGAACCCCAGAATGGTTTGAATGAAATAATGGAGTACCAGAATGGTTTGAATAAAATCATGGAACCCCAGAATGGTTTGAATAAAATAATGGATTCCCAGAATGGTTTGAATGAAATCACGGAACCCCAGAATGGTTTGAATGAAATCATGGAATCCTGGAATGGTTTGAATGAAATCATGGAACCCCAGAATGGTTTGAATGAAATCATGGAATCCTGGAATGGTTTGAATGAAACCATGGAATCCTGGAATGGTTTGAATGAAATCATGGAGTCCCAGAATGGAAGGAAGAATCCCAGAATGGAAGGAACTTTAGTGCTCTTGCAGTTCCATCCCCTGGAATTGCACCTCCCATGGGCAGGGACACCTTCCACTACCCCAGGGTGCTCCAAGCCTCATCCAGCCTGGCCTTGGACACTTCCAAGGGTGGAGCAGCCACAGCTTCTCTGGGCACCCAGTGCCAGGGCATCACCACCCTCATAGGGAAGAAATTCTTCCCAATATCCCATCCAACCCTGCCCTCTGGCAGTGGGAATCCATTCCCCCTTGTCCTGGCACTCCAGGGTGTCTCCACCTTCCTTGTCAGCTCCCCTCATGTACTGGGAGGCCACAGGCAGCTCATGGATTAGATGAGCTGCTCTGCTCTGTATTCTCTGGAAAGTTTCCATGATGATTTTGGAAGCTGGAGTGTCAGGATTTACCCACAGAACTAAAGGGATCAGGCACTGTGTGTGAACAACATTGAGAGGAGAAAGGAAGAACAAAAGAAAAGAGCAGGGTTGGCTCTTTGTGGCGCCTCTGGATTTATCTGGCACAGAGAACAAGAACCCAGAAGCAGAGAGGCTCTGCTGTGGGGCTCTTGGGTCACTTGCAGAGCTGATGTGGGCTGTGTCAGCATTGTCCAGGCTCATGGGGGGCAGAAGGTGACACTCCTTACTCCCAATGCAGTTGATTATGGCCTCCTCAGCCTTGTGGATGCCCAGCAGGAACTTGTGCAGGTCGGGGCGGAGCCTTCGGCCTCGGTGGTAAAACACCAGTGCAAACTCAAAGTCCCCCATGGCATACAGGCTCTCTGCTTTCTGGTAAAGCCCCTAAAAAGACATTTGGGGGAAGAAATTGATAAAATGAGGGAAAGTTTTGATGGATCTCAATTGATTCCTGTGTGAGAGCCCAGGGCTGTAACAGCTTGCTGTCACTGACATATTTTATGAAAAATCCTTTTGTTAGGATTTTTCTCCTGAGAAGCTGAGAGGCCTCAGGAACAAAATGTAACCAATAATTATCTGCTGCTGTGGAATGCAACAGGTGCATCTGTGATTGGTCTCATGTGGTTGTTTCTAATTAATGGCCAATCACAGGCAGCTGATTCTGACTCTGCTCAGTCACAAGATTTTATTATCATTCCTTCCTATTCCTTTCAAGCCTTCTGATGAAATAATTTCTTTTTTTTCTTTTAGTATATAATTTTCTTTTAATATAATATATATCATAAAATAATAAATCAGCCTTCTGAAACATGGAGTCAAGGTTCTCATCTCTTCCCTTGCTGGGGTTGCCTGCAAATTCCACATTTGGTGAGCCCCGAGTGAGGAACATTGCACACATTAAACCCCACACCTGGAGGTGCCTGAGCACCCCAGCAGCTCTGAGAGCAGCAGAAATCTCAGGAGGGTTTGGAGTTTCCTTACAGCTCTGCCTCAGACCTTGCAGGGTCTCACAGATCCTTGGCCACCCCCTCTCGTACCCCTCCAGCTGGTTACCTCATAGAATGTTTCGTCAATTTGGAGTGAGGCTTCAGCATCTTTCAGGGAGCTTTCTGTGTCCCCAAGCCTCAGAAAACACTTGGAGCGGGTGATGAGGCAGTGCTTGTCTGCTCCTCTCAGCTTCAGGGCCTGGAACCACAGACAGGGACATGTCACCAGTGCTGGACATGTCACCTGTGCTGGACATGCCACCACACGCGTGACAGTTGAAGTTTTGAAGTTTTTCTAAGCCTTCTGATGTTTACATTCTTGTAAGGAACTTTCTCACACGCTTTATGTAAATAACTTATTGTTTTGCATTCTTTTATAGAAAAAGAGAAAATTGATGGGCTGTTGGTTTGTCCAGTGTCGTTGGAGAGGTGGCACTGCCACCCTCCAATCCTCCAATCTATAAATGTTGGAGTCAGAAATTCAAAGTTCTCTTTTTACCATCAAAAAGCTGCGTGTCCTATAGCGACAGATAAAACTACAAGGATTTTACTGAAGAGTCTGCTCTCGTTTTTCACAGCTGCTGCAGGCGCTGCCCTGTCCCTGACCTGCCCCGTCTGGGTCACACGTCCCTCCGTGTCCCCCCCTTGCCCCGCTGCCTCTTCCCCCGCCTGAACCGAACAGAACCCGAGGCCCCTCCTGCCCGTTGGCATCCCGGTGCCCTCGGCCCACAGTGCCCTCACGTCATTGAAGCAGCCCAGAGCCTTTTCGTGCTGGCCGCGCCGGCTCAGGGCTATCCCCTCGCTCATCAGGTTCCCGAAGGAGAGGACGGGCAAGAGGTCGTCGTCCGCCATGGCTCCGCGGCGGCGCCGTTGCCAAGCAACGGTTACCAGGTAACGCTCAATTCCGGTGACCTGCCCCCGCCCCGGAAGTGACGAACGCGCCCCCCCCCCCCCCCCCCCCCGGTGCCCACGTGCGGCGCCGGTGGCCCCGCTCCGGTCCCGGCGGTCGCTCGCTGTGCTTCTGACCCGGCCCAGGCACCCGCGTTCCCGGAGCCCTGCGCGGCCGCTCCGTTCAGCCGCGGTGCCACGGAACACCAGGCAGAGCCGGTTCCTCCGCCCCGGCGGGCAATGGCCCGTGTGTCCCGCAGGGGCAACGCGAGGGCAGCCAGCGCCTCCCTACAGCCGGTTATTCGGTACCAGTTTCGCCGCTGAGGAGTGTAATCCTGGCCAAATAAATGAACGGCGAATGCTGCTCGCTCCCTCCCATCAGCACTCCGGTCCTGACTTTATTTTGGCGCCGGTTCAGATTCTCGCTTGAAACACTTTGTTCCTGCCAAGTGACTCAGAGTAAGGGCGGGGGGAGGACGAGGGCGTCTGTCCCGCTCGGCACCGGGGACATTTAATATAGCACCACGAGGCACTGCCCGGCTCCACACGCGGCTCGGCGCTGCCCGGGGCTTGGCCCCGGCCCAGCACCGCTGGCCGGCCGCCGCCGGGGCGGGAGGCGCGGTGGGGGTCACGCCAGGGTGGGGAGACATGCACTGCCGAGCTCCGGAGTGGGCGGCCGGCCTGACACACCCCGTCCCCGGGGAACCGGGCGGGCCGTTTAGGCAGATTAAGCGCTCCGTAGCTGTTTTACCGGGAGATTTTCCACCACTGGGTGTAAAACGCCGTCCCCAGCGGGGCGGGCAGTAACAGTGTGTTCGTGAGGGGCTGCCGCAGGTCTGTGCTCGTCCCGGTGACATTGCCACCACACCGGGACAGGGCTGCCCGTCCGCCGAGCCCGGTGCTCCCTCAGCTCCCCCTCAGCGCCCCGGTGCTCCCTCAGCTCCCCTTCAACGCCTGGTGCTCTCTCAGCGCCCGGTGGTCCCTCAGCTCCCCCTCAGCGCCCCGGTGACTCCCTCAGCTCTCCCTCAGCTCCCCCTCAGCGCCCGGGAGCTCCCTCAGTGCTCCCTCAACGCCATTCCTCAGCGTTAGTCACGGGCCGGGAGTCCCGGGGAAAAGCCATTTGGGATGGGGGTTCCCGGGAAGCGGGAGAACCGTGGCGGCTGCCCTCAGGAGCTGTGAGGAAACGGAGCAGCGCTCCCGGTGCTTCGGGAGGCACCGGTGACCCGGCTCTGGCAGCGCCGCCACTCCCCCGTGGATACCACCGGGCACCGCCCGGCCCCGCAGCCACAGTCCCGGCGCTGGCGAAGGAGCCCCGTTCCCGCCGCCGGTACCGTTGGGTGGCGGGCCTGTTGACGTCATCGCCGCCGGTTACGTCAGCGGCGGCGGGTCCGGCGTGGGGGGTCACGGCCGCGGGCTCCGCCGAGGGCGGGGCGAGGGTGCCGGAACTACGACTCCCACAAGACCGCGCGGCCGCACCCCACGGGCGGTGGCCAATGGGTGCGCGGCGAGCGCTCAGGCAACGTGCACGTGGTAGCGGCGGAGGCCAATGGGCGGCGGCGGCGGCCGTAGCCCGATGGGCCGGGGAGGCCGCGCTCCGCGAACAAAAGGCGGCGGCGGCGGCGCGAGCGGGGCCGGAGTGGCAGCGGAGTGGAGCGGGGCGGGAGCGGCCGAGCGGGGCCCAGGTGAGTGCCGGGGCGGCTGCGGTGCCGGGCTCCGCCTGGCACGTGGCGCGGCCCCTCCGCCAGTGGCGCCCACGCGTCTGAGGAGGCGGGAGCCGCGCTGGCTCTGGCCGGCCGCGGCCCCCGTGGCTGGCGGTGCGGGCGGGCGGGCGGGCGGGCACCGGGAGCGGCCCGCGGGCTGAGGGCGCGCCGCGGGCTTGCTCGAGTGGCGGGTGTGCGGTGCTGGCCCTGACCTTGCGGGGGCTCCATCAGCCGTGCTGATGCCCCGCTCGGGGCGCGGTGGCCGGGGCGGCTCCGGGGCACGGCCGGTGTGCGGTGGTGACAGCGCGGAGATATCCATGGGGCTGGGAAAGGGTTTTCCCCTTTTTTTCCCCTCTGGTCTAAGGGGGCCTTGGCTAAAGCGCTTTCCTCTCCTGCCATGAGGAAAATCCCATCGGTGGCACTGTCACCTTCCAATCCACCGTCGCTTTTGGAAATCTATAAATGTTGGAGTCAGAAATTAAAAGTGCTCCTTTAGGAGCAGCCCCGCATGAGGATCGCGCTGTTCCCGTGCGGGCGGCGGTGTGTGCACAGCCCGTGTGTCGCTCCCTCCCCGGAACAGCCGGCTGTGTTCCAGCTGTCCTGTTTGCTGCTTGCAAACACCTCCTGTTTGCCTTGCTGCTTTCGAAATTCTCATCCTGCTCTGCGGACTCTCCCTCCTCTCTCTGTGGAGCAGTTTGTTGTCTGCAGGCTGAAAGCTGAGCTGCACCCTGGCTGTCCTGTTTGGAGGTGTCTGTACTTTCTGATCCCTAAGTGGGTTTGGAGCTCAGAGTATCAGCTCTGGAAACGCTGGGGCTGTAGAGACTCCAGATTCCCTGCTCACAACTGTGTGTATGAATTCCATCCTTCAGAGTGCACTTGTTGGATGAGATCCCCACCAGTCCCCTCTGACAGGGTTTGTGCAGTGTGGTTTCCAGTGCTGCTACCCAAACCCCGTTGGGTGTCCTGCATGTGGGACTGTGCAGCTCTCCCCAGGTATCAGGGCTATTCCAGCACTGCCTGAGGTGGTTCCCAAGCAAGGACAGCCACATTTGGACGTCTTGCCCAGCCACAGTGGCCAGGGAGCCCTTTACTGCTGTACATTCTGCAAGTGATTTAAGGAATAAGCTTGTTAAGGAGCCCTAAGGCTGCAGAATGAGATGATCTTCAATGACAGGATTCCCAAATTCCCCCCCTGTGGCACCCACCAGGTCTCTGTTGGCCACATGTAACCAGTCCATGCTCCCTACTCCTGCCTGGCTGTGGTGTTCCTCTCAGAGGTTCTGTGTGTTCAGGAGCCTCCCCCAGAGCTGGGCATGCAGCACCTGTTTGCATCACCCCACAGAGCATTTCCCAACCCCAGCTGGGGGACCATGACCTCACGTTGGCTGGAGCTCTGAGCCCTCACCATCCTCTGATGAAACACACGGGTCTGCCAGGTGGGAGCTGATGTAACTTTTCACGCTGCCATGGGCTGAAAATACTGGCTTGGCTTGAACTGTGTTAATAAATTACCTGGAATGGAGGGGAGAGGCTGCTTTATGGCGTGGGTTTGTTGACACAGTTCTTGGGAGAGTGGGCGTCGAGCCTTCTGCAGAGGGAGTCCTTTCCTCCTGGCCTGAAGTGTTGTTCTGGTACAGCTGGAGCTCAGCACCCATCCAGATCTCAGAGAACTCCATGTGGGAGCACAGATTGGCAAAGCTGAGTTACACCTCTTCTTGTGGTTAGAAGAAAAACAAACTAAATCAATGTCTGTGATGCTTTTTCTCCCCTCGCAGAGCAGACGGTGTCACACTGAGCAGTGCCACATCACTGATCTCATGGGAGTCAGGGAAACCACCTGAGTTCTGTGTCAGGAATGCCTCCCTGTTTCTCCAGCTGTGTTTCCTTTGGATTTTTTGGGTGCACCCTTCAGCTGGTTGCTGATATATTGGTACAGATACATCAGTTGTGACACAACATCCAGCTCCAGGACTCTTACCTGCCTTGCCACCATCCCGCTGATTTCTCTGTCAATACACTCAGGAAACTCTCCTCAAGCCTCAACTTATTTGTATATATTTGACAGGTGATGTTTTGAGGGAATAAGTGCTGCTGAGCTCCTGAAAATATGATCTAATTCACGTCTCTTACTTGCTAGCAAAAGCTGGAATTCAGTTCTTTTTGAATCAGTGGGTGTGAGTGATGAGAGAAAGGTCTCCAAGGTGTTGCAGGGAAGCTGTTGGTGTTGGAGCCTCACTAAATGAACACAAATCATTCATGGAAATCTGTGGCACTGGTCCTGCTCACATGAATCTGCCCTTGTTTGTGGTGGGTGCAAGGCCTGGGGCTTGAAATGCTGAGAAAATTTCAGATCAGTCTTGGCTAATGAATGCTGAACAGAGCAGTAGAAGAGAATGTTGTTATCACACAGCTTGTGTTTTGGGCAGAGAAAAGGACATTTTTCCCTGAGTTTACCTTCAGAGGTGCAGCCTCTGCTCTCCCCAGCACTGCAGGTGCTAAACATGACTGAAAATAAGATTAATTCTGACAGATGAGAGTTTGAACCTGTCTCTTTGCTGGGGAACTGGGGAGACTGAGTTCCTCTGTAGTGACATGAGCTGTGCCCCGTTCTGTTTGGTGTTAGCAGAGCAGATGCAGTGAGTTAATGAACCTGCTCTGATGGAGCTGCACAAGCACACACAGCCAGCAATTGCTGATGCCCTATGGATTATTTTCCTGCTGATCTCTCTTAGCTTACCAGTTCAGCAGACTGAAGCATTTGCTTTGTGCTCTCTGTCCCACGAGAAAGGCAGGGTTAGAACAGTGGAAAAACTGAGTGAGGGGGGTGATTAAAGACTTGCTAATATTTAGGAAATGTGAAACTCGGGCGGATAAGGTCAGAACAGCCTCATTCCTGCTGTTCTGTTGCCATGGCACAAGGATGTTATTATTCATCTACTGCTATTGTAAGAATTCTGTAGTTTCCTTTCTTTACCCCAGTAGTGTTACTGCAAAAATGAGGTGATGGAGTTGTGAGGGAAAGCAGGGGAACAGCAGAATGGAGCAACATTAAAAAGACCAGAAATGGTTCTTTCTGGGAGGGGAATGGCTCAAATTTAAGGAATCCCATGCATTTCACTTGTTCCCACTGAGGCTTTTTTATAGGACTACTCTTAATAAGACCTGAGGAACAGCCTGGCTCCAGTGTCCTGCAACTGCAGGGTATTCATTGGCATAACCAGCATCAGCCTGAGTGGTTTCATTTGTAATTGTGGGCTGAAATTCTGCAGTGC